TGCAATTTATGAAAAAGCAGTGGAAAATATTTTTACATTGGTTGTTAAAAGCATGGCTCTCTGATTAGCTGATTGTCACGTGCCTAAACCTTAAAGAGATCTTTAGTGCTGGCTTCTGGGTTCTGCTACAGAGGAATCCAATTTCTGCTGCTAAGAGCTGCAGAGAGTCTGTGTAAATGCAGCAGGGACATCCATAGCTGCTGTGGGGGATTCTCTTCCTCAGAGCACAATTGTTTGACATTCTTCTCACTTCACAGGTAAAGAACAATGTAAGGAAGTTAGGAGCAATTGAATAAATAACCACATCTATTAACTACTCAGAAGTAGAACGGTTGTCCCGGGACTTGTTTCTGTACACTAAATGAAGGTTTGTTTTTCGAAACAGGTTCTCTCGATATAGCCCAAACTGGACTCAGACTGTGTAGCGGAGGCTGGTCTTGAGTTCTCACCCTCCTGTCTATTTATTGCTGTGATGTTGCTCTTTAGGAAATGGGGTCTCACCATACTGTTGAGACTGGCACCTGCTCAAGTGAGTCTCCTGTTTTGGTCTGAGTGTTTGGCGCTATGGGCAGCATTCCTATGACAATTGTTCTATTTTCTTTTGTATATATTGTAGATGTTCATAGATAATTAACTCAACCCCAGCCTTAGTCATAATAATTTTTAAATGACTGACTTACTGATTTTAGTGTTATGACTGTCACATCAAAAGTCTATTTATATGTACATATAAACAGTATGTAAAATACAGTTGGTAGCCCTAGTTTCTATGTGATCACCTCTTTATAGTAACTAAATAAAAACAAAAATCTATTCTAATTCCATCCTTTAGAACAAATGATGAAGGTGCTTAGTGATAGTTTGGGTTGTGATTGGGTTCTTAAAAAAATACTTGTGGTTAAATTTCACGTGTGAAATTCTTTTGTATTTTCATGGAGACCTCCAACATCCTTTTTAAAAGAACAGAGCTGGGTACAATGGTTTGAGTCTATAATCCCAACATTCAGGAGACTGAGACTGGAGGATTACTGCAAGTTGGAGCCTGCCTGGGCTTCATAGCAAGATACTGTTTCTTTTTGTTGTTGTTGTTGTTTTGTTTTGTTTTGTTTTTCTTTTAAGGTAGTGGGGAGGGGAGGAAAGAATGAACCAGTTTCTCACCTTTCAATAGGGGTGTTTATAGCTAGGTAACTAGGTCACTGGAATGTGCTCACATATCTGATTGCATAAACACCGCTTAGAATAGAACCAAGCTTCTCACCATGCCTCCCAAGGTCACTCCTTATTCTGTCATTTTAGCCCTGCTTTACTAGACATTCATGGTTATGTCTTTACAGCCACGCCCAACTCTTCCCTGGTGTAGCTCGTGTCTAGATCACGACAACAGACTTTTCAGTGTCTTCCTGTGTTCTTCCTTCTGGTTTCCCATTACTACCACCTTAGTACTAAGGTCCATTACCCCTGAACCACAGCAGTCTAACTGATCTCCCTGAAGCTCTTCCACTCATGATCTTGCTCACCACTCTCTGAAATCCCAATTACCCAGCTCCCAACTTCACCAGCAGATGCTGAAGAGCAGTGGATGTTTTCACTGTTCCCTGTATATATCCTGTCTGTATTGCCAGCCTCTTGCTGGGAAGAACAGTTGCCCCCTTACCTTTCCTCCATCCCAAGCCCAAACCCACCTTTCTGTTCCTCCTGTTTTCCCAGATACCATTGACCGGCTGAGCTGCCATTTCCACCCGTCAGTGCTAACCCTGCGATGCCGCTGCACCGTCATTTCCCTTCTTCTCTATGTGCAGTGAGAAATCATGCCCTTGATGAACAAGGAGGAAGTCTTAGAACACCCAGTCCACCCAGCTACCTTGATAGGCACTAAGGAGTGAAGATGGACTTAGACATGACTGTTGTGGAATATTGTTTTACTATGCAAAGATGTATTGCATTTGTTTAACTATGCAAAGATGTGTTGCTGTTTCACTTTGCCTGCCTAAGGCACCTGATTGGGCTAATAAAAAGCTGAATAGCCAATAGTGAGGGAGGAGGTATAGGCAGGGAGAATAAGTAGGAGAAGGAATTTAGGCTCAGGAGAAGAAAAAAAAGAGACCAGGGAGACGTCAGGGGCCAGCCAGTCAGACCCAGAGGAAGCAGGAAAGGAGGACATACAGAATGAAAGAAAGGTGGAAAGCCCTGAGGCAAAATGTAGATGAACAGAAACAGGTTAAATTAAGTTAAAAGAGCTGGTGGGACAAGCCTAAACTATGGCTTGAGCATTCATAATTAATAATAAGTCCCCCATGTCTATTCAGGAGCTGGTTGGCAGCCTTAAGAAAATTCCAACTACACATGACCCAAACCTGTGTTTGAGTTCAGTTTCTGCCTGACTATATTTCTATTTCCTCATATAAAACAAGCAGGATTATAACCCTTTAACAGAAGTTCTGAAAAGATCAAATAAGACAAATATGTGAAATGTGTTTTGTGTGACTCCCGACCTGTAATAAATAATAAGTGGCAGAGATTCCTATAAGGAGTATGATCATGCCAACTGCTCAGTTAATGTTTGCCAGGCACCATGAGCTGCCAAGAATTTTATTTACTGCTTTTCGTTGCTCAGATGATTACAAATACGGTATGATAACAAGGTCAGAGTCTGTGCATGCATGTGTGTTTATAGGTGCATGTGTGTGCGTATGGAGGCAGAGATCAACATTGGGTGTCTTCTTTAGTTGCTGTCCACCTCATTTTTACGAGACAGAAGTTTGCAGACTTGGTTACACTGGCTGGCCGGTGAGCTCAGGGGTCTACCTGTCCCAGCCTCTACCCCTGCCACATTGTTTCTTGTAGCTATCTGTGCTGGCTGGTATAACATCCTTGGTTTGATACAAGCTAAAGTCATCTCACAGGAGGGAACTTCATTTAAGAAGATGCTTCCATAGGTGGGGTAGATTGGACAAAAGGTTATACTGTGTGGCACACCGCTCCCAATGCTACAAGGATTAATGAAGAGGTGTTGGAGAGGAGGGAAAGAAGGAGAAACGAAGAGGGTTTGTTTTTGTTTGCTTGCTTGCTTTGTCTTACTTAGTCTTGATTTTTTAAAATTTTCTTTTGGGGGGTACCGCAGGGACGAGGGGAGGACATGAGGGGACCGGGAAGTGAGTCAAAGTAGGGTGCATGATGTGAAATTCCCAAAGAATCAATAAAGAAATTGTTTTTTTAAAATGTCTCCATAAGATCCAGACTGTCTGCAAGCCTAGAAAGCATTTTCTTAATTAGTGATTGATGGTGGGCCTGGCCATTTTTGTGGGTTGGCCATCCCCAGGCAGGGGGTCTGGTTCCATATAAAGCAGGCTTTGTGAACCACAAGGAGCAAACCAGTAAGCAGCACCCCTATATGGCCTCCGTATCAGCTCCTGCCTCCATTTTCCTGCCCTGTTTGAGTTCCTGTTTGAGAAACCCTTTCCTCCAAGTCCTTGCTCACGGTGTTCATCACAGCAATAGCAACCCTAAGACAGTCTCAATAAGCTATAGGGAACTAGAATATAGGGTGTTTGATTGTTTCACTGTTTAGAAAAACGAGTTACTTCAGGAAATATAGAGGTTACTTTTACTCCAAGAAGATACCTCCTCCTCTTCCACCGCTCTTCCTCCTATTCCTCATTCCCTCCTCCTCCACCCCTCCTCCTTCTTTGTTGTGGTTCTGGGTTTTGAACCCAGGACTTCATACACAGTATGTAACAAGAAACATTTTTATAGCACAAAATACTATGTTCTCATACAAAGAGTAACTTCTGAAACTAAAAATATATCAGGTGAGAGATTTAAGAAAAATGGGTCTTTTACATCCCATATCAAGCCCTCTGTCATTTGGCTCCATGGTGGCACACACTTAGAATCCTAGCAGTTGGTAGGCTTAAGCAGAATCGTCATGAGTGTGAGCACAATGAAATCTGTCTCAAATAAAACAGCAACAACAAAACCATCCTTCATTTAAATATAAGTTCATCTATTCCAGAAATTGAAATAGCTTATAAGAAAAATGAAATTTAAATTACTTTAAAAATTTAGAAAGGAACTAAATGTTATGAAACTCTATTTTGGGGCTGAGGAAATGGCTCCGTGGGTAAAGTGCTTGCCGTGCAGCATGAAGACCTGAGCTTGGGTCCCTAGAATCCACATTGGAAAGGATGTGGTGGTACATATGTGTAGCTCAGAGCTGGGAGTATGTGGAGACAGACTCACTAGACAGTAATTCCAGCCAAATGGTGAATCCAGGTTTAGTGAGATACTCTATCTCAAAAACTAAGATATAGAATGATGGAGGAGGCAGGGCTGGAGAGATGGCTCAGAGGTTAAGAGCACTGGCTGCTCTTCCAGAGGTCCTGAGTTCAGTTCCCAGCAACCACATGGTGGCTCACAACCATCTATAGTAGGATCTAATGCCCTCTTCTGGCATAAAGGCATACATGCAGAGTACTCCTGTACATAAAATAAGTAAATAAATCTTAAAAAAAAAAAGAATAGAGAGATGGAGGAAGACAACTGATATTGGCGTGTCCACATAACACACACACACACACACACAAGCACGCACTGGTGTGCTTGCACACATTTCGGGCACTACAGTATCAGAGTGTGTGTTGTGATAGGAACATTAAACCCTATTAAAGATGTCCCTGTTCTGAAGTTAACAAAAGGCAGTAGGTTTATCCTTAGAAGACAGGCACCAGATCAGCCCGCAGACAGTCAGGTGCTGGAAAGTTCTAATGCAGCCATTTCCCAAAGGTGGCTGGCTTGTCCCACAGCCAGACTTAAACAGAAACCTGTAGGAAGTGCAGGGTGGCCCTTAGCGCTAAGAGGAGCATTCAACACAAACCAAGTCTGTTTGACATGGAGTCACTTTGTGTGCCTTGATCTAGGCTGTGAGATGGAGTGCCCAACCACATGGTTCTGCCTTCCTTGCTTGTAAACCATATTTTGCTGTGTTTTCTTCTTCTTAACAGGGATTATATGCAGTGGTCTAAAGAAGAAGAAGCAGCAGCTAGAAAAAAAGTAGAGGAAAACTCAGCCACACGAGTTGCTCCAGAAGAACAAGGTAAAACTGAGCTCCCCATCATGTCTCTGCATTTGAGAGCTCTTAACTTACACCCCAGCCAGTCAACCCATTTGCTCCCTTCGGTGGGATTCCCAGCTCTTCCCTTGTAGGGACCAAAATTAATGAAATAAATTATGTATTCACCCTATAATTGGTCTTTTGGTAGTCATATTGCTTTTTTGGGAGATATACATATGGGTGGCATTTTAAGCAAGATATGGAAATATAACTTTAAAATTTCCTTCTAGCTATGCCACTCTCAGTGTGTTATTGTGCATTTCACTTGCTAGAAACTTCTAACAAATTCATAAACTTTAAGTTAAAAAAATGTCATATCAAAATATTGCTGACCTTTTAGGATAAGGGAATGTGGGGGGGGTCAGAGGTCGATTTCAAGTGTCTTCCTCTTTCACTTTCCACCCTGTTCTTTTGAGACAAGATCTGTCACTGACTCAGGAGCTCACTATTTCGGGTAGACTGGCCCACAGTGAGCTCTGTCTCTACCCCCCCCCCCAGCTCTGAAATCACAGAAGCATGCTGCCACACCTGGAATCCTAACTCGGGTCCTCCTGCCTGTACAGCAAGCTCTTTCCCCCACTGAGCTACCTCCCCAGCCCAGGAAAAGGGTTTTAGCAGGGATCAAAAGCAGTTATATCGGGAGACTTTGTATTCTGAGTCTAATTCAGGGAAGGCCCTGACAGCTTCATAAACTTGTGAAGTTTGGCTTGGGCTACTATTAAACTACTAGAAAATGACAAGTGTTGAAAAGGATGCAGAGAAACAGGAGTCCTTGTGTACATTTGATGTGAATGGTATAGCCACTAAGGAAACTGCTGTGAGGCTCCTTAAAAATTGGTGGCTCATACCTTTAATCCCAGCACTCAGGAGGCAGAGGCAGGCGGATCTCTGTGAGTTCAAGGCCAGCCTGGTCTACAAAATGAGTTCCAGGACAGCCCCCAAAACAATACAGAGAAACCTGTCTTGAAAAAAACAAACAAACAATATATATATATATACATATATATATACATACATACATACATACATACATACATACATACATACATACAAATATATATATGGAGGGGTTGGAGAGATGGCTCAGGAGTTAAGAGTGATCGCCATATTGGCTGCTCTTGCAGAGGACCCTGGTTCCATTCCCAGCACCCATATGGCTGTTAGCGACTACCTCTAACTCCAATACCAGGAGACTAACACCCTCTCCTGACCTCCATGGGATTCAGGCATGCATGTGGAACACTCACATATACTCAGGCAAACATACAAATAAAATAAAACTGTTTTAAAGATTTAAAATAGTACTCCCCTATAATTCATCAGTTCTCTTTTAGGATATATCCCAAAAGGTTCATAGCACAGTCTCAAGGAGGTATGTACATTGCGTGTTCATGGCAGCAGTCTCCATGATAGGCAAAAGATAAACACAATCAAAACACAAGTGTTTAAAACAAGCAATACTATTGAAGACTATCCTGTTCATAAGTTAATGAAAAGACAAGTAAGTTAGCCTTAGAGGAAAGAACTGTGCCTTGCTAGTACCTGGGTAATAATGCAACAATGTCAAGATATTCTGGGGACATGGATTCAGCAGCCATTTCCCAGAAGTGGCTGGGGCCTGTGACCACTGTAGATAAATGGGTAATAAAACATCCTACATGATGGGGATGCCAAGGGCTGGTAGGTGAAAAGGAGGAGCTATGCAATGGAGTTAGAGTTAGAGCTGGCATTTGGGAAAAATCCCAGGTCTGTTTCACAATGTGAACACACCTGATTCTGTGGGACCATGTACTAAAGAATGGCTAAGATAGTCCATTTTATGTGTTTTCAGCACCTTTAATCCCAGCATTGAGGCAGAGACTGGTGAACCTCCCTGAGTTTGAGGCCAGCCTGGTTCTACAAAGTAAGTTCCAGGACAGCTAGATCTGTTACACAGAGAAACCCTATTTTGAGATCCCCCTCCCCAAAATAAGTACATCAAATAAAATGTTCAGAAGTGGCCAGTGTCCCTAGTCTCTCTTCCTGACTGCTGTACTCTCCGTATGCCATCTCCTACTTTATTTTTTTTTAAATGGTTTCCTCTTAGAAGCATCTTCCTCCTTCCCTCCTTTTGTTGTTTGTGTGTTGGCATGTTCATGTGTGCATGGGTACATATGTGTGTGCATATGTATGTGGAGACCAGAGATCCACCAGGAGTACTGTTCCTCAGTTGCTATTCTCCTTTGTGGGGGAAGGGTCAGGCAGGGTTCTCTCTAGACTATGCCTCATGAAGGAGTCTGGGCTGGCAGCCAGGGAGCCCCAGCAACCCACCTACCCCTGCCTCCTCATTGCTAGGATTATGATACGTGCTACCATGCCAGGTTTTGTTGTTGTTTTGTTTTGTTCATTGTTTGTTTGTTTTGTTTTGTTCATTGTTTTTTGTTTGGTTGGTTGGTTGATGTTGTTCATTGTTAACGTAGGTTCCACAGATCAGCTCAGGTTCTCATGCTTGAGGAGCAATACTTCATTGCTGAGCCAGCTCCCCAGATCCGCCTCTGCCTACTTGGTACTGAGTTACAAGCACATGCCACTGTGCTCGGTCGGCTGGTTTTACATGAGTGATGGGGACAAAACTCCTTACAAGCAACCAACTAAATTAACTCAATGTGCAGCACTGGCTGGCCTAAACTCAAAACATAAACCAAAGCATCCTCCAGTTTGCAGTGATCCTCCTGCCTCTGCCTTCCAAGTGCGAGGATGCATGGGCTTCTCTCTCTCTCTCTCTCTCTCTCTCTCTCTCTCTCTCTCTCTCTCTCTCTCTCTCTCTCTCTCTCTCCCTCCCTCCCTCCCTCCCCCTCTTTCAAATAATAGTTCCTAAGAGCCAAGCTCGGTGGACAGTGGTACATATCTGTAATCCCAGCACTTAAGAAACCAAGATGGGAGGGTTACTATGAGTTTGAGGCAAGTCTGAGCTACATAGTGAATTTAGAACTGGCTTGGGCTACCTGGTAAGATCCTATCTCAAAAGTCAAAAATAAATAATTTATTGAAATACCAAATATATACAGAAATTTATATAATTCACAAAAGAGTTCTCATGTCGTTTGCCAGGTTTTCATGTCAGGGTAAGCAGTGCTGACATGGAGAGACAGGCCACCAGCAGCATAGCAGCCTCCTTACACTCCTAACCAGCGTTATTACTCCTCCATCCCCTCACAGCTCTCGAAGTGCAGCAGCTTCCCCCAACACCCCCCCACACCTTCACCCTGCAATCCCCCTTCCCCCAGGCTTCTAACCCATGGCTTTGGGTGCTACTCATTCTGCTTTCTTGATCATCCCTGTGGCGGTGTCCAGTTTTAGAGCATGTTTTGGCATCAGCAGGCTGTGGTGCCTGTGCACCAAATCCAGCTTACTGAGGTTTTGTTCGTGTGTGTGTGTGTGTGTGTGTGTGTGTGTGTGTGTGTGTGTGTTTTCACAGGAGTATGTAGGTCTGAAATTGATAGGTGTGTCTTCCTCAGTAGCTCTCCACTTAATTTATACAAGCAAGGCCTCTTGCTGAAGTTGGAACTTGCAGATTGTGGCTAGTCTAGCTAGTAAACTTGTCCCAGGGATCTCCATTCTCTGCCTTTCTGGCGTTGGGATTACAGCCAGCTGCCTCACCTTTTATGTGATTTCTAAGGATCTGAGGCTCTGGTCTGAGGAGTTGAACTCTTGCATAGGCACTTTATCGACTGAAACATTTCCCTAGCCTACAGCATGTTTTTATAAATAAAGTTTTATTAGAACACAGGCATTCTCACTTGTTGACATACTGTCTGTGGTTGCTTTTGAGCTGTTTGGTTCAAAAGAGACTGTAAATGTCACATAAAGACTAAATATCTATCTGGAACTTTATAGAAAGGCTCTTACAAACCTAGAATTCCAGTCTTAGGTTTACCAGCTATCCAGAAACTCCCGGGGAGGGGGGTGTTCTACTCTTCCTTGTAAAGCACATAGTGGAAATCAAGAGAAACACTGTTGAAATGATATTACTCTACAATTTCTGGAATTTGAAACAAAGGTATCTGGAGAAACTAAGATAATGAGACAGCCTCAGCCTTGAGCTAGCAAAGGAGCCAGTGCCAGCCTGCCTGGCTGTCTGGAGTCATCCGTGACCTATGGATCCTTTGGCACTGTTCGCTACTCCTTAGTTGCAGTCCCTCGGCATCAGAGTGCCCTGGGGTAGACAGGAAAGACGGGCCTCTGAGCCCAGTGGAATTATTCTATTTTTATGAGCCCTAACTGGGCAGCCCCAGAGTGAGTGTTGGAGTTGGACTTACACCAGGGGCGGTGTTGCCTTAAGTCAGTCAGCATCATGTTCTTTCTCAGGAGCTCTGTCAGTGTCGCTGAGGAAGTAGACCTGAACTTCTTTGCACAGACCACTTCTACCTTACTCAAGCTTTGCTAGTGGCCACCTGGACGTGGCCTGAACTAAGTTCATCATTATCACCTGTTTTAATTCATTTCCAGGAAATTAAAACTTATCCACAGTATTATTTGCACATTATCATATAATATGAAAAACCAGGGATTTCTTTCTTAACTTCCTTTTGAATTTTTTGTTCAGAACTTAAATAGAGCAGGACTGATAATGTTAAAGTTCGGCGTGCGTGGCCGCCTACTTTGTCCTATTTGTGCTAACAATGAACTTGAGTGAAGCTAATGAGGTTATTCTAGTGCCTCAGAAACCTCAGTAAAGGAAAGAAGCAGTTCCTACAGAACCATAGTGCGACCAAAATAGAAAGGTGATGCCTGGCCTCTCTGTAGAAGAGGAAAAGCCGGCACGAAGGCCTGCAGTACCACTTTGAGGCATTTGATTTGCTTTACTATGACAGTCCCTTCTGAGATCTTTCTGGCTACTGTGAAGATACAGAACTAAAGTAGAGGTTTTTGCTGGGTCTCCTCTGCATCCTTCTGCTCAGTGCTCTGGGCTCCACGGTGTCGGCAACCACATTGCAGGAAAA